GTCAACTAGCCCAGCCTTTGAAGACAAAAGAAAAATGAGGAGGAACCCAATAGAGGGATGCTTTTGGAAGCCCTTGACAAGAAACTCCAATGGACTCGCATAAGATCATTTGAAAATTGCCCTGTTCTGACTTTTTTCTAGTTCCCTGTCTAGAACTTGTAATGCTAATTACTCTTGCCTTCACATCTCCTATTCATGATTCAAGGAGTTTCTTTTCCCCTTAGAGCTAAGAGTTATGCAATCTGGGATTCTTTTAGATAGACCCACTGAAGGGTACTCCAATTGCCTCACCCTGTGTCCCTGCTCAGCATGGAAGAAGTCAGAGTGGTCTGTGTCCCTATTCCCTATTGGCAATTTGGGTAACTTCTTCAGAGGATAGTGTGATAAGAATAGGAGGTAGGAATTGGCTAGGTAGTTAGGGTAAAAAGACCCTAAAGAAAAGTACAGTTTCTTGGCTAAAAGTCAAAATGTCCTTGGGCCTCTTAGTAACATACTCTGTTCCAAAGGCCAAAAATGTCAAAAGTATTTGGGAGCTTGTATCTAATCCTTAAAAGATTTTAGGGTTACCTCTCCAGAAGGGAGAATGTTAGAGTAGCCAAAAGCCTCATAAAAATAAATAAATGAAAGAAGAAATAAAAAGAAGAAGAGAAAAAGAAAAAAGTGATGGGGAGGTAGGGGAGGCGTTGGAGGGGAGGGAGTGGGCATGGATTTGATCAAAACACCTTATATGCATATATGAAATTCTCAATAAAGTTTGTAAAAGTTAAAAAAAAGAAAATAGTCCAATGGAGCCATGTGGTAATTACAAGAGAATGCATTGTACTCTGTTTTAAAAATAAGTTTATTTTGTCTTTGTTTGTGGAAAGACACCCTAAGAAACAATAAAGTCAAACCATGAGTCAAAAAAAAACCCAAACCAAAAAATAAACAACAAAAAATATGTTTTATTATGAATTTTTATGTTGCAAACAAATGGAAATCTGTTCCTTTCACTGATTTTTTTTTTCCAGATTCCCTTTCTAGCACTTTACTAACATTTAAAATTTTGCATTAAAAGATGAATCAGTCTGCAAGGCATTTGTAGTTCACACTTGTAATGCCAGCACTCAAGAGACTGAGGCAGGAGATAGGCATGTTTGAGGTCAGTTTGAAGATCAAGAGGAGTTAAAGGGCAGTCTAAGCCACATAACAGCACTTTGATTCGAAGAACCAAGGCTAGGCTGCTTGTTCAGCATGTGATAGACCTTGAGTTCAATCCCCAGTACTGCAAAGTTAATGCAGTGTACATCTAATTTACATTTTGAAGTGTAAGCTGCACATAAGGCTCTGGGATACATGTTTAAGTAGAGTTGTGTATTGCAACCTCTTCCTCGCTCCTTTTATTGACTTTTGTGTGTGTAAATGTGTGAATTTTAAACTTGTACATCTCTCCACTTTCTAAAGATTTCTCCACTGTTTATAATTAATTCCTCATTTGTTATCCTCAGTTTATTTTCATTTTACCTTGGAAATGGGTGTCATCAAAATGAATTTTTACTTGTGAAGAACTGTAAGGATTTACTGGGAGAACTGAACTCACCCTGGGAGTGAAGGTGGCATTATTGATAGAATGCATGTGGCCATACAGTGACTGCTCACATTTACCCTAGAAAGACAAGCAGAGGTAATATCAAATACATTCTATTTGATTCATGAAAGGAATGAAAGATAATTTTATATAAGTCTTAAAGTAATTTGTAGCTCAGTGATGAAAATGAATTCTCATGATAGAAAACAATAGCTTTTTACCACCAAGTACCATTCATAATGAGACAAGGCTGGATTGAGGTTCTGATTCATGTTCTCTTGCTGGAATTCTGCTGTTCCTGTTTGGGAGAACAGGGCTGCTCTCCAGAACTCTCCCTAAATGACTACTGTGGTGGCTTGTTTACAGTAAATATTCCCCCCCATGCTGAGGCTGGGGATGGAGGTCTTTCTTTTTCTTCCAGAATTATAGGAATACGATATAATTGCACATTTTTAAAGATGAGCACTTACATTACATACAAAAAATTGTTAATGGAACATGTAGAATGGTGTTTCACAGAATAAATATTTGTTTTATGAAATACAGGCTTAAAATCTACCCATTCATCTTATATTTAAAAAGAAAAACTAAAATTAAAGTACAAACATTTCCAAGCTTCAGTGCAAATGTTTGCAGGAAAGATGGACCTATAATATACTGCAGAAGGGAATCTGCATGTGGGGTCTTTCCTCTTGGTAATGATGTTCAAAGGATGGTATTGACTGTATTTGGAAAATAAAAAATAACTTTAGAAGCACAGAAAATTAAAACTTGGCTATTGTTTATAATTAATTCTTCATTTATTATTCTCAGTTGGAATCTCCTTGTTTGGAGATTCGCATTATAAACATTGAAATTCAGATTTCCTTTAATTATTTAATGAGTGGTTTCTGAGTAGCTAATATTGTTTGGCCTAATTCTATATACCTACATATGTCACAAAATGAAGCAAAGAATGTTATGTTCATGGACTCTATGTAGGAGGAGACAGACAATTCGTTTAAAAGGCAGAAAGTGTGTTAGCAGATAAAAAAATATCTGACCAGGTAACAGATAGCATTAGATTGGGACTGAAGCATATTGGGTTCAGAAAATGTTGTGCAATGTGTGCTGCTCAGCTGGAGCCTTCAGAACTGATAAGTAGCTGCATTTTTCCTTTCTCTTTTCCACAAGTTCAGGGAAGGGCCTTCTCTGAAGCTCCTTTATCTGACTGAAGAAGATCTTCCAAAAGCAAAGCAATTATTCTTAGACCTCCTCCCTGAAATTTCATTATCCAAGGAAGGTAGAGCTAGAGTCAAGGAAGGAAGAGGAAGATCTCAAAAGCTATTGTCTGTTCTAAATGTTTCAGAAGGATTTAGAAACTGTCTATTCTTCAGGCTCAACCAGTTTCCCTAAAAAACATTAGTACTCCTCTAGAAGTGCCCCAGCTCTTACTTTCCTCTTCCTAACAGAGAGAGTATTTAGGGGCTGGAGAGATAGCTCAGTGGTTAAGAGCACTCACTACTCTTCTTGAGTACCTGCATTCAGTTCCCAGCACCTACATGGCAACTCACAACTGTCCATATCAGGTTCCTTCTTCTGACTTCTCAGGGCCCCTGAACATATATGGCACCCATACACATAATAAAATATTGCAACGAAGAGAGTATATAGCCTCAGTGATCTGCCTCTTCTTTGTACTTTCTATATGAATGGGCAAGTTAATAACTTCCTATGCTTTTTATGTTTCTGCTGTTGGTTCAGTTCAGCAACAGGAGGAACAAAGCAGGTTTCCCTTGCAGCTATAAATTATAAAACAGAGTAACCCCTTTGACCTCACTCAAAAATTAGGATCCAAACAAAGACCAAAGTTAGTAGGGGAGTGGAGCAGACATCTGCTCTCATAGGTGTTCCCGGTACAAACAAAACTTAGAGCAGAAGTCCCCAAGTGAGGAATCTGCAGGCATGCTTCTGGAACAGCAAGGAAGGTCATTGTAGCAGATGTATTGAAAGGCTTCATCTACTGTCACTCAATACCTTGTAGCCTTAAAAGATTAAAGGAGGAAAAAGCTACAAAATAAGATGGTAAAGATGGGTACTCAGATATTCCTTCATTGTTCCTGATCATTCTTGGAACTTTCTAAACTAGGCTAAACGTTGGAAGCCCTTTGTCACGAAGCTCTGTTTAGGCCTCACTGCGGTTAAGGTAAATTTCAGATGTCTATCTACAGAATCCACACATGCTGCTAATTCATGTTGACAGAATACAGAATTTCCCTGCACACATTTCAAGTTCCCTAAATATACACAGAAGCATTTTCACAGTCTCTGGGGATCTGTTCTCTTCGCCTTTGTCATTCTAATTCAGCTTCTTAATACTGTAATACTTTAAACCAATTAAGCTGAAAACTTCAAATCATCCAAATTCCCATAGCAGAAATAAATTACTCACAGCCAAACAGGCAGAGTAGAAGATGTTATAATGACTATTATGTTTGTTTATAGACTTTTATAGTGGAACTTCTTTGAGAAGTACTATAGAGTAATATTATTCTTGCATAATGAAGGTTCTTACAAAGTTTTAAGTTGGCATTTCTGTCTTCAAACGTCTTTGCACTAATAAAGTTTTGCACTTTGTGTATTTCCAACTTGAAATCTTTAAATGATTTGATTAATTGGTAAGAAAAATGTAGTTTTTGGATTCAAATCCTGAGTGTCAAGTTTAATCCAAAGAAGAGTCCCCAGGTCTCTCTTGAAGAGCCCTGGAAGTTTGAGTTACAGTGGAAATGCTGATCAACCACCTTTGTGCTGCTGTAACAAAACCTGACTCAAAGTTAAATGTTTCATGAATTAAGAAAAGTTAAAAAAGCTTTTCTATTGAGCTTTGTTCACAAGATAAAAGTGAATCTGTTCTTTCTGAGGTTGAGGGAAATTGTGGGTTACTAATATTCTAGTTTGCAAAGAGCATCGATCAAACGGAATATCCAAACTGATAGAGTATCAATAAGCCCCATAAATTAACTGGCCGAGACTATGAAAATGTCTAGTCTATCTGTTGGAGGACCCATTTCCAGTCTCATTGGTCAATTACCTGGTGATAGAACCACTCCCAGGAAGGTAGGTTATGCTAAGTTGATGGGCAGAATACCTGGTGTGTTAATTAAGTAGCGAATATTTCTGCCTGGAACTAGCTCAGGTCCCCACAGAACTTCCAGACCAGCCACAGCCATGTAGGTCTCCATAAGTCCATCCACTTTCCTGAACTCTTCAGGAAAGCGTAATTTCTCCTTTTCTTCTTCATACCTTTCTTACCAAACATGCTTTCTTTAAGGCCTGGGCTGCACCTAGCATTTTGTGTTTCTTCACTTTTTCTCTAAAGCTTCCTCCTCCCAGCCATGTGGCTGCCAGTCAGCCTCATGTCTGACCTCTGTGCATGCTCTAAGCCTGCATGGCTTCCATGGCTTTCTTTCCTTCTTCCCACTATTCACCTCCCCAGGGCAACTGCCAAGATTACGAGCTTGCCTGCTCTGAGGATTTATCTTTAAGATTCTAATAAAATTGTAAAAGTCTCTGTTTGGGTCCATTCTTAAAATCTTCTATGAATGAGACTAAGAAGCCTCTAGGGGACCTTCTTTCTCCCCGTTTCAAAACTGGGACATTCAAATTTGAAATATCTTCTCTAATGAATTCTTGTCAAAACTGTTTTCCTTCGAGGGGTGGAAAAAAAATAAAAAGTGGGAAGAATTTTAAGAAATTATCATGTGACCCAATGCACAATGCTTTAGTGTTTAGTTGTCTTACACAAAGAAGCGGTGTGCTCTGAAGGTTTCAGAGGCTTTGCGAGGTCATGCCTTCGCCCCACTCCTGGTTTACTCTCTCTGCTTCCTGTTTGCTGTTGAAGAGGTGAGCACCCTGCTCCAGCCACCATGCTTCCCCGCCATGATGGACTCTTGTCCCTTTGGAACTGTTAGCCCAAATAAACTGTCTTCAATAAATTTCCTTGGACATGATATTTTATCACAGCAACAGAAAAGTAACTAATACAACCATATCCTTGGAAATGGGATGAGTCTGTGTCCTCTAGCACCTTCAAGTCCAGCCCTCATACAGTGCCTCTCGCTCTACTCTGTCCATTTCTGACCTTCTCTACAACTGCCACCCAGCATGCTATGGAGCTTCCTCAGTTTCCTTTCTAACACTGTTACCCCATAGGCCAAACTTTCTTCCCACAGCCTTCAAGGCCAGCCTGGTCTACACAGTGAGTTCCAGGACAGCTGGGGCTACAGGGAGACCCTGTCTCAAAAAGACAAAAAAAACAAAAACAAAAACAAAAAAAAAACCCAAGCTCTTTCCTGAAGTCTGAAGTCTCCATATTATCTGGCTCCTGTGTGTCTACGTGACCATATATACTTTACCATTCTTTCATTTTTCTCATTTTTTGTACTCCTTGAATTGTTTTCTTATTCCTTCATCAGCTGGGTTAAAGAATAACTGAGTAACAACTCTAGCAACTCTAAAGGTAGAGACCTCTAGAGACCTAAGAACATTTGCATTTGTATATAGTCCTGGTTTGCAAGTTCAGAGGACCTAATCTTCTCTTCAGGAGTCTATTTGCATTTCAGACCAAACCTTCTTTACTATTTCCTGTCTGTCTGTCCTTTCCATCCCCCTCCATCTCTGCTTTCACTTCTTCCCCCTCACCTGCCTCACTCCCCCTCTCTCCCAACTCTCTCCTTTCTCCTTCTGTACTGTCCTCCCCTCTCCCCCCCCCCCCTCCCCCCCCCCCCCTCCCCCCTCCTTCTCTGCTTCCCCCCCCTTCTTCCCCCTTCTCTTACTCCATTTGGTTCTATCACTCTGTAGAAGCCCGACTAGTACACGGGCTAATTTGGTTCTTGGTGGGGACATTCTTCCTGGCATGTAGATCATACCTTCTCCCTGTATTCTCCCATGGTTGATGATACCTGAATATCACACTTCCTCTGCATGTAACCATCCCAGCCCCATCTATACCTCTATGACCTCATTTAACCTTCATCATCTCCTCACAGGCCCTGTCTCTAAATAGAGTCACAGTGGTGTTAGAGTATCAGTTAGCCCTATAAATTGAACTGGTCCAGACTATAAAAATGTCTAGTCTGTCTGTTTGAGGACCCACTTTTCCAGTCTCACTGGTCAATTACCTGGTGATAGAACCACTCCCAGGAAGGCAGTTTCACCTTAAGTTATGCTACATAGATGGACAGAATACCTGGTGTGTTAATGAGGTAGTGAATATTTCCTGCCTGGAGCTAGTGCAGATCTCTGCTGAACTTCCAGACCAGCCACAGCCTTGTAGGTCTCCGTAAGACTGTCTGCTTTCCTGAACTCTTCAGGAAAGTGTGATTTCTCCTTTTCTTCTTCATGCCTTTCTTTCTAAACATGCTTTCTCTAACGCTTTGGGCTGCCCCTAGCATCTTGTACTTCTTCACTTTTTCTCTAAAGCTTACTTCTCCCAGCCATGTGGCTGCCAGTCAGCCACATGTCTGACCTCCATGCAGGCTCTAAAGCTACAGGGCTTCATGGCTTTCTCCCCTTCTCTCCACCATTCACCACCTCAAGGCAGCTGCCAAGATCACCAGCTCTCCTGCCCTGAGGATTTTTTCTTTAAAATCCTAATAAAATTGTAAAAACTTCCATTTGGGTCCATTCTTAAATTCTTTTATGAATGAGACTAAGAGCCGTCTAGGGGACCCTCTTTCTCCTCATTTCAGTGGGACTTATGCAGCTGCATTCAGATCGGTAGGGCACAAACATTCAATCCATAACATGCAAACAAGGTAACAGATCTTCAATTTTATTGGCTGAAAAATCTAATGATAATGAAGAAAACACACTGTCCAGGCACTGTTGCTACCTGTTCCAGTGTTCAGAAGACTGAGGTCCAGGACTCAGCTGGAGGTCAGCCAGCTGGGTCAATAGAGTAAAACCTGTGTCAGAAAAGGAAAGGAGAGGGAAGAATATGGTAAAAATAGTCATAGATTTTTAGATAGAGAAGAACTGGAGTTTCCAGCTCAGTTCCCTCACAACTACTCATGGACAGGTGGCACGGTGGGCTAAGACCTTAGTGGGCCTTGGGCATTACATCATATCCAACACATCTAAACTCAACCGTGTTAAAGAAAGTTTGTCCACACGGTCTGTAGAACACAGTTCTACTCTTGTCCTTGAAGTTTAACAACCGTAACATAATGAATGTGTGGTTGCTAGCTCTGCCCTTTGCTCTCCCCATCCATATCCTTGCTTGTCCAGTACTTTGGGGATCTGAGTTTCATAGTTTGGGGTTCCTTTCTATGGTATACCTGGCTCACACTGCTTCCCTCCAAGTGGGAATTGGGGCCTGGAAAATAACAAGCTGCTCTCTGAGTAAGCAGGTGGTTTGCACTCTGGTTGAGAAACCCCCATTTCCTACCAGGATAACGAAGTATGTTCATGAAAGCATGAGGCTATCACACAGTCCTTCCTGTTGATCTAACGCTCCGAGCATGCTTCTGCTTTGAATCTGTTTTCTCGGTTTCCTGTTTTCCCATCTGCACATACACGTGTCCTTGTTTTTATTCTGCTTTCACCTAAAACACAGCTTTTTCAGTTTTGTTTCATATCTAATATTTCTGACCTTTCTCTTATAACCTACTATCACATTAACAGAAACCATTTTCTGACATTCATCTCCTCCTCTTGGGCACACATCAAGGTTAAGTGTGTCTGTATGGCTAAGTTATGCCAAGCCCATCATGAAGTAAGTCCCAAAGATTCCACATAACCCACTAAACCATTTTCCTGTTTTTAGGCTGAAGACAGGGGCTCTAGATAATGGAAGAACACCAAGCAGAAGGAGCATAAGTTTGTGAATAACCACAGGGGAGAAGCTCTCACCTGAGACCTTCCCAGTACACAGCCCATGAATAAGAACTGAACTTCTAGTGTGTCAAACCCTGAAACTACAGAGTTCATCTATTTTCCCTGGAATCAATACCCAACAAACAGGTCACATTCCTGCCACTCATCATGAAGTAAGATGACTTATTTTGTTCTGCCATTAAAGCCCCACAGGAGAAACTTGTTTTCTCCACTGTATTATCCCCAAGGCTTAAGTTCTTGTAAGATTTGATAAACAGATGTTCAGTCAATGAATAGCAAGGTGACATGGAAATCACAAAAACTGGAAAAAGTCCTGACCAAGTGTGTTTCTCATTGGAAGGACAACTTCATCCTCTTCCTCCTCTTTCCTCACGTCTTGATCAGTGATGATAAGGATGTATAGACAGTCTGATTCTCCCACCTTTGTTGTAAGGTGGTTCTAGCCCAGGAATATATTGACCCGTGGACTCTGTCATTGTCTTGACACTTTATACAACTACAGAGAAATAACTTCAGCTGGAGGAGGAAGCTGTGCACTTATTGAGCATAATATGACCCTAAAGCATTGTGCAACTATACTGTAGAGCATTTACAACTACAACACTTTACTATTCTTTGCCTCATCCAGAGATGAGAAAACAGGCACTGAACCCATGCTGACAGGTTAAAAAGTTCCAGAACCAAGGCAGTAATCTCTTTTTGTTCAGTTCCAAAAAATAGACCTTAAATAAAATCAGAAAATGATTAACCACTTAAATTATCATCAAAGTATTTAAAAGAATTAAATGCTTACCTATTTCCTTTCAAAATATACGGGCATGTGTTTAATATAGGTACACGTTTTTAAGTGTGTTTAACGCTTAAAAATAGAGAGTCACTTTATTACTTCTCCTTCACATCTCCTATTCATGATTCAAGGACTTTCTTTTCCCCTTAGAGACAAGAGTTAAGCAATTTGGAAGTCTTTTAGATAGACCCACTGAGAGGTACTCCAGTTGCCTCACCCTGTGTCCCTGTTCAGCATGGAAGAAGCCAGAGCGGTCTGTGTCCCTAGTCCCTATTGGCAATTTGGGTAACCCCTTCAGAGGATGGCGTGATAAGACTAGGAGGTAGGAATTGGCTAGGCAGTTAAGGTAAAAAGACCCCAAAGAAAAGTAGCCAGTTTCTTGGCTAAAAGTCAAAATGTCCTTGGGCCTCTAAGCACCATACTCTGTTCCAAAGGCCAAAAATGACAAAAGTATTTGGGAGCACTTATCTAATCCCTAAAAGATTTTAGGGTAACCTCTTCAGAGGGGTAATGTTAGAGTAGCAAAAAGCCCCATTTAGAAAGAAAGAAAGAGAAAGAAAGAAGAAAGAAAGAAAGAACACAAAGTTGTCAGAAAAAAATGATGGGGAGTTATGGGTGGTAGATTTTTAAATCATTGGTTGTTTTGCTACTCTA